GCGTACTTACTCAATCGGTCCACAACCGTGAGGATGCCGTCGTGCCCGAGCCGGTCRCGAGGAAACGGACCGGTGACGTCCATGGCAATGAAGAGACCGGGTTCCCGTGGGATAGGCATCGGGTGTAACTCGCCGTAGGGATTGCGGTTGCGGGGCTTGCTGCGTCGGCAAACTTCRCAAGAGTCGCAATACCGAGTGACATCGGTAATGAGGTCGGACCATCGAAATCGTTGTCGAAGCCGTGCAATAGTGCGGTTGACTCCGAAATGGCCGGCGAGTCGTGAATCATGGTACTCGCCGAGGAGGCGAGTCCGAAGACGACGGTCGCGTGGGACACATAGTAAGTCCTTACCTCCCGAGTGGAGGAGCAAGTACCCGTCGGCAATGTGGTAATGGCTGGCCGGCGGGTGATCCGAAGATAGCTGTSCATAGAGCGTGCCGAAGTCCAGATCAGACTGATATGCGCGGATGAAGTGTCGCTGAAGCTCCTCGTCGAATGCGAAGGCATGATGTGTCATAGCGCAAAGATCAGGTCTTCGCGAGAGTGCATCTGCTGCGCGATTGGAGAGGCCGGGGACATGCTTTGGTGTGAAGTCAAATTGGTCGATGAAGTACATCCATCGTCCGATCGTGCTGCTCACCGTGTCCTGCGTCTTGTAGTAGGTCAATGGATTGTTGTCTGTGATCCGTGTGAACCTACAACGCCCAAGGAGGAAGTGCCGCCAGCGTTTGAGAGCCATCACGAATGCGAGCAGCTCCTTCTTCCTTGCATCATCAAGCGAGTTGATGAGAGGCACTTTGTGGCTGAAATACTCCACAGGGTGTCAGTCGTCGTCGTCGTGCAGTTCCAAGACTGCCCCAATGCCATAGCCGGAAGCGTCCGTAGTCACTCGCGTCGGCAGGGTGGGGTCATAAATGCTAAGGACGGGTGCCATGAGCATAATCGTCTTAAGTGCTTGGAATGACCGGCGTGCGTCATCATCGAATACGAATAGCACCTTTGGCGACTATAACCTCGTCATAGGTGCAACAATCCTGGAGTATCCGGTGATGAATCGCTGATAGTAGCCCGCCAACCCCATGAATGAACGAACGTCCGTGGTGTTGGTGGGCTCGGGCCATACTCGTAGGGCCTCGATCTTGTCCGCAAGCGGACGGATGCCTTGCGGCGTCACATAGTGTCCCAAGTACTCCAGCTCCTRCTGTGCGAACTCGCACTTGTCGCGGTTTGCTTTGTATTTGGCCTGTCGTAGCCGCTCCAAAACGGTGCGCAGGTGTTCCACATGCTCGTCCAGACTCCGRCTGTAAACCAGAATGTCGTCGAGGTAGATAAGTACGAAACGATCCAGCATGTGTCGGAACTCCGTCGTCATAGCCGCTTGGAAAGTGGCTGGGGCATTCGTAAGGCCAAATGGCATGACCAGCCATTCGAAATGCCCATATCGAGTCTTGAATGCGGTCTTGTAGCGATCCTCCCTGCGAATCTCGAGTTGGTGGTACCCTGACTTGAGATCCAGCTTAGAGAAGAACTGGGCGCCACCCAATCGCTCAAGAAGGTCGTCGATGCATGGGAGAGGGCCGGCGTTGCTGATCGTCTGCGCGTTGAGCTTGCGATAATCGATGCACAACCGCAGGTCCTTGTTCTTCTTCCGGACAAAGAGAACAGGAGCACCGTATGGCGATGAGCTAGGCCGAATCCAGCCTTTCTCTAGAAGGTCGTCGAGTTGTGCCCGAAGCACACTTAACTCTTCCTCGCTCATTCGGTAGATGCAACCGCGCGGAGGTACGGCCCCGTCCTCGAGGATGATCTCATGGCGGATGGGTCGATCCGGTA